TGTGAATCATACCAACGCAGAGTAATATGGCGAAATCCAGATTTAACATTTCAGAAAGGATGACGATTGCTGTCAATTTCCGAAATACGTACGTAGCTTGGCAGATAAATTCCTTTCGTAACGTTGCGGCGACCCGGGTACGCCGTTTGGAACTGTATCAGAATTACCAGGTACGTGGTCACCGCACCAACGATCTGCAATATCATACAAGCCACAAATCTCAGTTTAAATAATCGCACAGAGACAAAGAATTGTGTGTTCAATGGACGCACTTGTTTTTCATGACAAAATGAAACAGATGGTCAACTTGGGCTCACAGTTTGGAATGGTGCACTACGTCCGATAAAATTATTTACTTTGTTATTTATTATTCAGAAATTAATAGGAAAATAAATACGGAAAGCGCCGATATCTTGAGTAAAGTCAGGAAATTTTTACGTCTTATACAGACATCACCGAATGTTTCGTTTTGTAATAGATGAATCGTCGCCCTGATGACGGAGGCAGTATGACCTCTGAAACGCTGGTAAACATCGGCCAGTCTACACAGCGCAACAACCCAGAAGACAGAAATCTTCGTACTCACCGCTGTGAAAACCTCAAACCTTGTTCTCAGTTGACATATTTTTAAACAAACTATCAAAGTGCATTTATTGAAGAAAACTATTTTGACTTATCACAGTTTCTGAAGCACGAAGGATCGAACTGAACCAACATAATTATTCACACGTACATTAGAAAACATCTCACCGCATAGAGAAGAGTGAAATCGAGCGGAAAGAATCCGCAGGCCGTGAACTGTGTCTTACAATGAAACAGCTGTAGCGAGAAGAGTTGAAGCTAGAAAAAACATAATTGTTAACTTATCACAAATCAAACGCCTTTGATTGTTAAGGAAAGCTGTATGCAGATAAAACCATGTAATATACATGCCCTAAGATAAAATACGTTTCAATATTAATACATATGTACTCTTTGACGACATTACCTAATGAATTACTAACCATCAATATGTTCGATAATTTTATAATTCATGTATTAAAATGTTATATTTTAACTAAAAAATTAAATTTCAATACAGACTTACAGCCAATTTCTAGCTTCGAAGTTATTTTACAGTAAGCACGACTTTAAAAATGCTCCGTCGAATGAATTACTATTTCGAGAAACAAGGTTTTAAATAACTCATGCATTGATCTACACGTCGTAACAACTATATTAATTTCATAGATTATATACCTCTGAATGAGACGTGAAGATGATAATGAATACAAAACATGAAAAATATGTGTTTGCTTCCTGAGGTTAAAGAGGAAATCTACGAAAGAATTCAGACATGACACACCGTACCTCATCCCTGACTTCAGGATCCTTCGTCTTGTTAAGTAATTTATGTACCAGAACAGCAGTGTGATTGGCCTGAAAATGAAGGAAAATTCGGAACAAAATTGAAAATTGTTTCTCAGACATTCTACATGTGAGGAAAAGTAAAAATAAATAGTATCTCAGATCTCTTTTTACTATTTAAAAACAATCCTACTTACCTTTCCCTTTGTATAATCACAGCAGACTATTATTAAAACCAGCTGAAATATGGCCCAAAAACAGAAGAATAACGCATTAATACTGTAACACTTGTCATAATATGTGGAAAATATTACAACGAAGACTAAATACAGACAAAATGTAATATGAACAAATATTTTTGCTACAATGAGGAGTATCTGCAGCGAATAAGCCGAATCGATGAATCGAGTTGCATCAAACAATTTTTCGTAAAGGTCCATGAAGCACGATACCCGATCTCGTAACTCATGTCTGACCGGTTTAGCAGACGTGATAGAAACATGAGAAATGAAAAAAATTCCTGTTTCAACGTGCCGAGCTGTTGGTTTCTGAGAGAAAATTCTGTCTAACTCAATAAGTTGAATATTTATATGAGAGAAATACTGACCAAAGATTACAACAAGATTTGTATACTGAAGAACAATAATATAATCGCCTAAAACACAAATTAACTTTGTTACAACGCCTTCCCATTTCTCTTCCTTATTGCCGATATAAATATTAGCCCAAAATAAGTAAGACCCTAAGGAAATAGATCCAATCATTATCTGAGCAACAAGGGAGTAGAACTGTTTCTTTCTGACATCAAGTGTTTGATGAAACATAGAATCGAAGATGTTAATTTTCTCCGATATTCTTATGAATTTTTTAGATCCGTTGATAGACATGAATACGGACAAGATATGCGTCACCACAGAACTCAAACTCAGCAGCACCAATCCTACTAACAAAAGTGGCGTATCCTTCATAACTTCGACCGCGAACACTTTTATTTCAGCAGCTATAACAACGATGCATAAAATGATACTGTATTTCTTTGCAATACTCGAAGGAATCAATTTTCCATTTTTCATAAGAGCGTATGGAGCGAATCCCAGGAACTTAGACACGTAGAAGAGCAGATGAAATGCACTGTAGACCTTACACATCTTGATGGTAACGTGGCTGACACAAATTCCAGTCTCTATTCGAGCGAAAGAAGTCTTAAATTGTAATTAGTTTAGTACTGCAGGAGCGGTACTAACAATTTCTGAGCATCTAACTGGCTACGAATAACCCAATTGAGTAAACATTTAATTAGCAAAGTACTTATCAGTAAAAGCAGGATCCGAATAATAAACGTTACAACGAGGGAATTGAAACTGATATCAGAACATAATATGAGTATTTTTTCTCAAACCTCTTTATATTTGTGTAATTAGTGTTTATTTGCCACTGGGGACGTATTTCATTAATGTTCACATCGTAACCATCGAGATAGAACACTGTTATTGAAGGTGAAATACAGGATGATCATTTCGTTCGTGAAACCACGAAACTTTAAACAACTTCCTGGAAAAGAGAACTAGGTAGATGGAATTTATAAGTAATCTTTGTTGTCTGCCGCTAATTACGTTATCACAAAAATGTTTGAAAATTATTACCATCACAACGAAATAGCGAGATCGATGTAATGTTACTTCATGGATTCACATATAAAATGATCACTCTGTATATACTAAATGACATTGCTAAGGACACCAACAGACACTTCGATTAATTACTTAACTACACTTGGGAAAAGCCTTACAAGAATTTGTGTTTATATTATATGGGTGTGAGTGGCATGCATGCATTACACATAATTACAACATGGCGCACGGTTACAAAATGGCTTAAAATATTACAAATAGCTGAATATAAATGTATTGTTCCCTCACTATAGTAATACCAGGTAGATGAAACCAATAATTTCGTCGGAGGTTCTAAACATTTTCCAGACCTAGAGCTACGTTCATTCCTCATCGACAAGCGAGAGCAAGATTAAAAGAAGGGAAATTTATTAAAACGTTACCAAACGAGACATAATAATTCAAATAGGTGCACATATGAGAACTATTCCATTATTTTATAAAATAATCTCGGGCTACAAGCGCGTCCGGTAACTGAACGGTCAACAAACCAGATCTACTGCCAAAGTTTCGACAGCCATCTCTGTTCACATCCTCAGGGCTGCTGGGTAACCAGTCCGTTCCTTTGTTCCCCAGAATATTTGGTTTGTTCACCGTTCACCTGACGCGGCTTGAAGCCCGAGGTTATTTCGTCAACTTCATTAGCCGCGAAAGCTTTACTTCATATTCCATTATATTCTTTAACTAATTCAATTATTAGAGTAATATTTATATGACTTCTACTTGGTCAGTCTTTCAGTTTCAGGCTTAACTTCTGCTGTGGCGATTAGTGTGTCTCAAAACGTTAATTTGTGGCGTGGTCCTTAATTAAGGCAACCAAAAGACGTACCTTTAACTTTTTTAACACGTGTGTCGGAAAGCAACGTACCTCGCGAGAAATGAGAATTAGATTGAGGAACCAGAACTGAGAAACGAGTCTAAGCACATTCCGACGTGACTTTCCGTACATGGCCCATTCATTCTCGTTACATTTCCGCGGATATTTCAATGAATGTTCAGTATTCTCAGAGAAGCGGGTTTAAAGACCACGGCCGTAAATGTTTCAATGGGAAAAGTATAATAAACAAGTTACGAAACATCGCACAAGGAGTCGTGGAGTCGTTATAATGTCTCTTTCAGTACGAGTTGGAACAAATTCTATCGTCTCTAAACGTTTTACTCGTATACGAGATTCAAAACCCTAAACCTCTACCCTGAAATATATATGAATGCTACGAATTCTAATGTAATATCCGAATTATCAAGAATATAATACGTATCGTGTATAATGAGAAAGTGCGGTCTAAAAACTTCGTATAGAAGATACAAGTTAAAAAATAACAGAGATCCACAATATAGAAGAAACAATATTTTGTAATGCCCTTAGTTGTCACGGCACCGACGATCTGCAACACAGAATTTCACAGACTAGAATTTTACACTTTATAATGCGAATCATAGTTAGATGAATTTCAAATAATAAATAGAAGAACGCGCAGAGAGAAATAAATTCGTGGACACAGTGGAAAATGAAGGCCCTTTTCATTTATTTGCCACATTAATCAATAAAGTAAAGCATTTTCCAATTACGAACTCGGAACAGAAACATACGCAATAACAATTAAGTCGTGGCTTTCGATATATATTATATAACCTAATTTCTGTAATTTCAACAATATTAATAACTTAAACAACTGAATATTCTGGATTATTGCTCGTGTGCCTACAAGAAAAGTGAGAGAATTTTCTACTTTCAACGCAAAGGCAGTCCATCTAAATGATATTTGCAGATTTTTGTAAATTTTCAACAAAAACAAAGTCTCCTTTGAGGACACCATCACTTTCCGGTAAATTACATGGATTGATTATATATATTAATATAGTTTTTCAGTTCTTCAGCACCTTTTAAATTGTAGACCCACTGAGTAGTTTTGTTCAGTGTAACGAAATTAAACTCTCTATTAAAGTTAATTTTAATCAGTTGTAGAACGCAAGGATTCTCACCGAGTAAAGAAGAGTGAAGTCTAATGGAAAGAACCCACAGGCCGTAAACTGGACCTTCCGATGCAACAGCTGTAGTGAGAAGAGCTCAAGCTGAAAAACGTTGAGTCCTGTTATCAGTGCAAATGTAAACATGTATGAAGAGAGACAAATACAGGAAATGTAAATTAATGCGTAGACAATTTTCTGAACCACACTTCTAAAAAATTCCGGCTAGTATAGATTTCCAATCCCTGAAATATATAAGAGAACCGCAAATTCACAAATAAATTTAAAGGCAATATCGTGATATTTCACATCAGACACCGATAGTTGTCAACAGAATAAAAAGAAAAATGTAAAAGGCACCAATATATTTGCATAATCGGATAGGAACGTAAAATAATGTAATGCATGCCAGAATGGCATAATAATAATGCTGCTTTACAAATAGATACAGTTACATTTGAGAGTATGAATACTAATAGGATAAATTTGTTAAAACAAATAATTGTAATGATTAAGTCTCCTGCAAAGTAGTTATTTTGTTGATACGCCCTTCTGTCAAGAAGCCCTCAATTTCTTTCGCGCAAAACGGTGACAGAGTTTCAATAAAAATTGCTATCACGTGTTCACTTCTGTTTTCAACCTACCTCTGCCCTGGTCCCATGATCACTGATCTTGCTTAGTAGCCTGTGTACTAGAACTGGAGTCCGGTTGGCCTATGAAAACATTAACAGCTGTTTTTATAAGAAATAAATACAGAAAGAATGCGTCATACAGACTTGCAATTAAAGAAATTCGACACCCATTTACAATTTAACATTTTACAGACCAGCAGTAACTGTGTATACCACCTGTTTTACGTTTGTAAATTTACATGTCGTTCAAAGAGTCGACATATGGGTTTCATGCCGTTTTCAGAGCAAAGTACAAATATTTTCCTGAATATTATTAAAAATATTTGTAACAGTGACATGGTTTATTTTCCTTTTGATACGAATGGTGATTATAAATATTATTTAGAAGAATTTTATCATTCAAATAATGAAGTTTCTTATACATATGAGGTTCCTCCTCAAAATTTCTTCTAAGACATTGTATGTTTTACTGATGTCCAGTGACTTAGTCGTGTTTGCAGCAAATGTTCTGCTCTGTGCCGAAATGCGACCAGTCTGTTCTCCGCACAGTGTTTTGTCCCGTAGAAATTGTTACTCCGTACGCTTATTTAATAAAAATTAAGCTCTTAGTAAAAAACACAAACGCCAAAAAAAATTTGTGTAGCCCATAAAGATGCATAGAGAGTCGTCAAAATGTAATTTTCACTAGTTCTGCTGGACACTTCGTTTCAAATAATTAATAATTAAATATAAGCAACACAAATTTTGCCCATTGGTCTCAGGAATACCAATAAACAATACAAGCGAAGTGTTAATTTTGTAACAATCTTAGAGTACCCACCTGAAAACTTGTTGAGTTGCAACAAAGCACCACTACGACTAGCTGCATCGCCTCACAAGTAATGGAAAACATTAGTGAAGAGAAAGAAAGAACCTGGTATATTTTGCTGTCTAAAATGACAGACAACATTAAATAAAACCCAATTGTTACGTTTAAAAATTTCCAGCCAACCATGGCCAAGACTTGTAAAGAATAGGTAGAATTAATTACGTCCAAAACATCGCAGAGTGCATCGTGAATAGTAATCAGTTCATGAAAATCACAATTTACCAAACTGTTTTCTGCTGAGAATTCTGATGTATTGTTCCGATTAAATGAAATACATTCTTTTGATTTCACTGTTTGTAGGCTTGCTGTCACTTCGTTTACTCTTGAGTTCAACAACATAAAATAGGTATGCACAATAAAAACAAAATACGTAAATTGAATATCTGCAAAATTCGTAATGATCTGACACATCAAACAAGAGACAAAAAAAGGTAAAAGACTTAAAACACAGTTTATTCTTATCCATCCCACGACAGATCTGCCCAAATATGCAATAATTAATATGGAGTGTACCGCAATAACAGTGTTATAAGAGTTAGTGCTTTCGTGATAATTTATTAATGAACCGACAGAGCGCAACTTGTAGGATATTTTGAAAAAATTATGCATTCTAATTAAACGGGTAATCGCAGAAAGTACGTAAGTAGTCATAATACATGCATTCAACGATAATATAATTTGAATATTAACGTGACTGACGTCTGAATTCGTGTGTATTCTCTCCATCGATAAATGAACGACGAAATATAACTGAACTACAGATATTGCGATAAACAGCACACAACTATAAAACAAACTTTTCTTGCAGAGAACAGGTTTTTCATATCCGCCACTTCTCAGGAATGTCACAGGTAATAAACCGCAAAATTTTGAAACACGGTAGATAAAATACAACGAGTTATTCATGTGCATAATTGAAGGAAATGTCTTCAACAGTACTAGGATAAATTACAGAAATGTAACGAAATGTCCAATTGTCAGACGCTTAATAATTTCAGTCGAATTCTCTTACCAGTCTTATGATCGCATGCACTCCAATTTAAGTTAGGCATCGATTCACTTTGCCATTAAGCATATAACCATTGGCAACTGATACAAAGGAGATACCATTTACCACTCTTATTAATATCAAGATTAAGTAGTCAAGAATGATGGGCCAATCTAAAGAATTAAACACATACTCATAAATATTATTCCGTAAGGCGTAAAATCCAACAACACAGGCATCAAAAATATTCTCTCATAAGATCCAAAATTCCTTAACAGCAAATGAACAACAATTTACAAAAAGCATTGCGTATTTTTATGAAGATATTTTTTGTTGTAACTAATTGTTAAGATGTAGGATTTGAGACTTTCACGGCAAGTACAACCAATAACAATAATATTTTAAAATGTTTGTCAGTTCTGCGTATAGAATGAGCATGTAGACAATTTGAATTGTGCAGAGAAACGTCACGGTGTAAATGTAATGACGACTTTATGTTGGGAACTGGTGGGAGCTTAACGAGCCATTCCACAGCCTCGTTCAGATTTGTGTTAATCTACGAATTCCATGTAAGAAGATAATGAAGATGAAATCCCACTAAGCCATTGTTTGATCAACCGCATACCACGCTGATGTTTACACGCCAAGGAGATGCAGAAACCAGGCAGAAAGTTGTTCAAGCAGAGTTATTCCATTCTATAGCCTACCTCAAAACCAGATCGACGTGTAGTACAAACAGCAGCAGTGAATCTTGTCTAAAGTGTTATTAATGAGGTTGAGTACCAGGCACACATAGCATAAAACACGTCGAGAATGTCTGAGAACAGGTGATAAGGAGAAGTCCATGCAGCAGTTACAGAGAAGCTGATTGTCACTCAGATGATCGTTAAATACCCCGCCGTCTTTAGGCCCCAAAGATCCTTTATCGTATTCATAAGGGCACACCAATGGTCCCTACCCTGATCCAGATTAATTAAGAAGTTCAAAGGCTTCTGGTACTACAACAGATTAATAATCAAGTCCACAATCTCACACCCTGTCATCTTAAGACCCACTTTAATAATTTCATCAAAAAAAAATGTTCACGTCTCCCAAGTGGCATTTTCCGTTTAGAATGAACGACCAACATTTTGTATACATTTTATCATCAAAGCAAAGGATTAAAGTATTACCCGCATTAAACGGATTTTAATTTACACAGGAATGTAATTTTGGTTTGTTATTGTAGTTCCATACACCTTTTTAAACTACGGCGCATTTTCACAGCACACACACATATATATATAAGCCAATTTTATATTATAATTTAGCAGTATTTTGATAGGCTACTTACTTACGTTATTTCCGAACGAATTAAACACTAATGACACTTTATTTTATATTTAAATAAAAAGATAACACAGTAAAATATTTATTTCTTTGTAAATTTTGTGAATTAAGATTTAAAGCTTGAGAACTTTTCCTGTAATATTTTTTACGACTGGAAATTAGATTAAATGATTCTTTCCAGCAGATCTTTTAATTATCAGACAGCTGTAATTATCTGTTTACGTTTATAAAAACACATGAGAATGTAAAGACTTTCTTGTCTCATAATAATTAAAAATAGCCACAAATTCGGCATTATGTTTGTCAGCAATTTCGACATTTTCAGCATTTGGAAAAAGAAATTGCGTGGTGTTCTGACTACAAGCGCTAACAGCGGCGGAAGATAGAACTTATCGGCGCTGTTTACAATATGGTTCATAGATGGAACTGCAGTTCAGTTTCTGTAGCTACATAGCAGTTGGTGGTTGTAGAAAGATTCAGGTATTTCTTTACAGCTGAAAGCAGAAATTTGAATGGTCAATACCATTCTCAGAAACATGTTCCACGTTGGCTAGCACTATTTTGATTTTTTTTGCTAATGTATTTTCATATTAGCGGCAGTACGATGGCCTTGCGTTGTAAACTGACGAGTCGACTAGCACAGACTACTCTCGAAATATCGAGGACATTCAACATTACTGAGGTATAATGATTCAATTGTCACAGACCACAACAGAAACACAAAGAACTTTTTCTGCACTTGGTTTCAGAAAACTTCCAACTATCTCGACTTCGTGTTTAAACCCCTCAGATCAGTGGCTCAACAGTCCTAAGGCAACAGTTCAAATGTTTCAGTGGTGAAGATATAATGACACCCGACAGAGAATTCACAGATATGGCATAAGACATTAATTTCCTCCATTCTTTACGTAAATAAAAATGGCAACAGGGTTATTCACTTGTATTAAGCTACTGACCACTTCACTTCGACTTCCTGATCGTGTCCAGTGAACTGCAGAGGCCAGACGCTGAGAAACTACAATCGCGTAATAAAATTTTGTCGGATTTCTGGTTATATTTCTATTGGCATCCGAAGTTGTCAAGATCTCCGTCCCTGCCGGGAATCAAACCCCGGTCTTTCAGCCCATAGCCTAGACGCTATACAGACTGAATTATACCAGTTCTTTCAATGCATCAGTGCTATATAACCACAGGACTACAAGTCAATACCTAATATAAGTAATTCCTACGAGAATATAACCCAACTACTACTATGAGCAAATTAAGGACGAACACAGAACAGAGAAAATAAACACGTATATTATTACATGGCGGTTTATTCCACGTTCTCCGACTGACTAAGACAAATTAGTTCCAGTAACGCATTAGGGTCCCATTTGTCATGGAATGAAACATCACGTTAGCATCTGATCGAAGTGACACGATAAGAGAGTGGTCTGTCCATATTTATTGAACATTTACTAAAAGATTGTTGTTGATTGTACACGACGTAACATTTATATCTGACACATACGTATTGTATTTATCCTAACGAAATAGAGTTTTGTTTAGTCCTGTCATTACAGAAATAAATGTGCGAGTTTTAAATTGCTACGCTATATGTAAAAACCTTCCTGGAGTTCTGTCCTATTTCTAAGCGACCACAACGATTGTATAGTGTAAAAACATATCTATGTTCATTCACAGTTGTTTTGTCTCTTCACAACCATTTCATGAGACGAACATCAGCTATGCTTTAAATCAGTGGTATTCAACCTTTTTTGTTCGCGTACCCCCAGATATAATTTCTCTTCAACTTTGTACCCCCAAAGTTGTTGGTGTATAATTCAAGTTAAACATAGTGTATAATCTACATCTACAATAAATTAAATAAATTACATTACTGATTATTCAGTG